AACGCAAAAAAGTGATCCAAGAACGGAAGTCAGTCCTGTCGCACCTTTTCACGCGCTGTTCTGCCAAGTGGGACATTGAAATCTTGCGACCTCTCGTCGGATTCCGACTTTTATCTCCCAGCAGTTTTCTGTTGCACGGATAGCGCCGAGCAAAAAGTGACCCGCATTCTTGAGATATCCGCTCTGCTCGCTCCCCGCCTCCCGCGCGACCCTCGCGCACGGCGCTGACTCGCTTCGCGTCTCGCTCGCCCGCCAGCGGGGACGTTTTATTTTTCCTTCTCGTTATTATGAAAAGGAACCCGCGGGAGTCGCAGGTTAGCGAGAGCCGTCGCTCGCGTGGATCCGGCGCCGACGACCCGGCTACGCGTCCCCTTGCCACGCCTCCACCGGGAACTCATCCGAGCCAGCGCAGCCTGGGGACCCGTAACGAAGCGGCAAGTTGAATGGAGGCTGCTCCCCGTCGCTGCCCGCAGCCCCGCCTCCCTCCGCATCGTTCTCTGTTGCTTACCTCTACTTGTTCGTTCGATTTTCTCCACCACCATCCTCATCTTCTTCACCACCACTTGGAAGTCGAACCCGCTTTGTCATATCGCACGTCCAATAGAAAAGTGACACAAGTGCGAATTTCTCATTTCTCAGATATTCTATTTTTAAGTTTTCTAGTTCTGTAATACTCGTTATAGATTGTACCAAATATTCACCTTCAAGCGGACAGTAATTGAACTAATTCAAAATCAACTTCAGAATAGTAGCAGTGCCTCTTCGTAACCTCTTCTGGACGATTTCGCACTTGTGTCACTTTTTTATTGGAGGTGCGATATGTTTTACCCCTTCGTGTACTTCGCTTATCCTAATGTCCTTCTGGCTATTCATACCATGCGATTCAAGGGCACGGCGATCCCGTTCACCATTTCGCCGCTCGGCCGTTTCACTATAAGATCACGTGTTGTTTCTCACATCTGTGTCTCGCTTTCCGTAACCGTTTGCATCGGCCCAATAGCTCATCTTTTGTTCCATTATTTTTTGCGTACCCTCACTCCCGTTTAGCATTACTTTCTAATGATCTATCACCGCTCTGTTATCTAGCACAGCACATCGTCCTCCCCACCAGTTCTGTAGCATTCCCTACGTGCGGCGTCACCGCATGTTCACGCAGAGCGCGGTATACGAGGCAGAGGGCAAACGAGGGAGGGATTGAAAAGTTGATCCGAGGCTGCAGGCGGCGGCGAGCGCGCTCCCCTTCGCAGATTGCCTGGCGCGGCGGCCCGTCGGCGCCCTCGTCAACCCTTCCGCCCCCTCACCCCTCAATTTGCCGGCCCGCTCTTTATACGGCCGACGCCCGGTCCCCGAAATAATAAATATATAAATAAGCAAGGCAATTTAAAAGTTTGCTTGTGTCGCCCGCGAAAACGTCGGGGAGAAAAGGGAAGCGCGCGACGAGGGGGGGGGGCCGTCGCGTGGGGCCTGAATTACTCGCCCGAAATTACGCACCCACCCTCGCCCCTGCCTCCCCCGGGGGCGCCCCGCGTCGCACGCGGATTTTGACGCTGATGGAAAAAGCTCCCGAACAAAACTTCCATTTCGACGGAGAGTAGCGGCGAGGGAGAGTACCAAAGCGGCGAGGGAGAGTACCAAAGCGGAGGGGGGGAGGGGAGCTCCCCAGCGGCCGGGAAGACGTCGCCCGTACGCCCGTGGCGCTGTACACAATCGGGTTACCGCCAATCAGCGGTCGACGGGGCACCGCACGGCGGCGGCGGCAGCTGCGGAGGTCGACCCCGCTCCCACCGCGCCCGAAGGCTCCGAGCGGAGACGCCGCGTGGCCGGGCGGCGCGCCCTCGCGCTCCCACGGCGGTTTCCGGAGCGCGCGCCCAGCACCACCGCAGTGCTGCAGTCGCCGTTGCCGCCGGTGTTTGCTGGCGGCAAACAGTACGAGGCGGCGGCGCTGGGGCGCCCGTCAACACCACTGGCGCGCCTGGCGCTGTGCGCGCCGCGCGGCGATCCGACAGCCGTGGCCAGGCGGCAGCGAGGGTGGGTGGGTGATGGGCGTCGGCGGCTGAATCGCCGAGCTTTTACCTCTACAGACGTTTGACGACTAGCAGAAATAAGCAGTGAGCGACAGGTAGACGGAATTAGTAACTAGCGATAGGACTGTTGGCTGGTGAAGGATTATGAACGGAGATTGACATAAATGTTGGTCTAGTGTCCAGTCTATTCTGTATGCACTGTTGTTAGGTTTTAATTGAATACTAACGCTGGGGTGCAGGTCAGCGATGTTAATAATATACTAATATAAATTGAAGCCTGGTAATGTAAATGAAAGAAGATTATGTACTATTAAGCGTGCTTAAGTGTTCAAAAAATATCAAATAAGAAAACCAAGAATTTTGTTTAAAGAGAGAAACGAATATGCGCCTTACAGGAGTTTGGTAATTATTTGCAATGCTCATGATTGCGTGGGGTATTTGGAATGGAAGTGCCGAGCGGAGGGCGTTGAACGCTGCCCAGGGTGAGCCACGGAATGCGCGGAAGGCGCTTGCGGAGCGAAGCGGGGTGGAGCGGGGCGGAGGGGGTGGAGTGGAGCGGGGCCGAGCGGAACGGAGCTGAGCGGGAAGGAGTGGGGCGGAAGCGAGGCGGACGGAGTGGGGCTGGGTGGA